GATTAAACCAATAAACCGCTTGTGTTGAGGTTATCAATCTCAATCGTTTTCATCTTGATTTTATTGCTACTATCGAGTGAATATATGGCGCGTGTTCTATATAAACTCGGTAGTAAGTTTTATTAATGAACGCGTCTCGTTATTAATAACTACCCTCGATGAATTGGATATACTCCTCGATTGAGTATTCGAGAGGAAGATAGTTAAAGATATAACCGGGATCGACGAACATTTCATTAAGTGGATAAAAGCAAAACCAAGTCTCCTTCTCATTAATTAAACCACATAACTCGTTCATCTTCGTGCTTAAATATAATTTAAGTTCATCAACCAAACATAAAAACCCCCCTGTTATTACTTATTTATTTCGATAAAAAGAGAAGTGTTCCTTTCCCTGTGGATACGAACCTTACTTCATTATACTACGTATAATTGTTGTATTGAATATTATTTTGAGTGCACACCACGACAAAGTGCACGTCAGGGACTGTCAACATACTTTAATGCAACATTACATGTGCGTCTCTTTGCCCGTAGTGTTAATGGCCATTCAGAAGCTTGAGCACCCCTTGCATGGTGCGTAGTTCCTGATTCCACTGCGGGAGGTTCATCTTGCATTGCACAGAATTGACGGCAAAATCTATCGGGATAGTACATCTCAGAAATATCACAAAAGATAAGCATGACCTTTGATGCCCACAATCCTATTCCCGCAGTGCAGAAATGAGGGAGGACTTGTAATGAATAGGGGAGCCACATGAACTGATTAAATAATATTTAAATTTAGCACATCACAATATTAATTATTTATTATAGTCAAATAATATTGTAAAATTGTACCTCATTCTCTCTGATTCCGTCCAACTTGTCTCGGTAAAGGCGTAGAGCATACCGTGAATTATTTTGCCAAGTGTGTCGACACACCCACCTTCATAATAAAAACTTTGCATACTCAAATATTTAATATACTAATATTAATTATGTAAATTTAAAATTTCAAACTGTACCGTGCGCCATAGGGCTTATCCTGAAGAATCTCATATGGCAAAACATTTTGCGGTCGCACCATAGGCAGTCTCTCCCACGCCCAAACCTGTAACAGGACCAAACATCCCCCGATTGTTTTCATTTGGGCTTTGGCAGCCTTGCACAGATTTTGATACAAGTATCCCAAAACTGCCGAGCCCCAGCTCCACCGTCGTGCATCACTTAGTGGTCCCTGCAACACCTCTAGGAAGTACATTTTTACTTTGTTCCCACTAGTGATGGGGAACAATAATCCACCTAGTAGTTGCCAAATGAGTACCCTTGTGTGTATGATGAGTTCTTCATTTGTGCTATGTGATGTCTCGGCCAACGTTGTAGGGCATTCTGTCACGCCCCGGACCTCCCCGGACACGTCAACAACCCGCCGTACAATACGAATAGTCAACCGCAGTCCAACACATTCATATTATACGAGGCGTCTAGAATATCATTCACACGCAAGCCATCCATAAACAACATAATAAGCAATCGAATACGTAGCGGAAAACATAGTTTGAAAACAAATGCCACACGTGGCTAACATGAGCACGCAGGCTCTATAGTAAAATATTCATGAGCATGTTTATTAATGTTTAAAAACCGAATGGAGGAAGCACGAACCAAGTCTTCCCTCCTAGATGATCTCTCGAGCAACGAGCACAGGAAGCAAGCTCTAGCCTTAACCTGAAAAATGGTGGTGGGACGCCCCCGAAGGGGTCAGCACTCTATAGGGCTATAAAGTGCTGGTGTGGATGGCATCTAATAGATATACAACAAGTATTTCAAACACAAGACCCTCAAATAGGGTGATAATATAATCTAGGCTGTAACCCCAAGTTACCCCTTTTTAAAATATACTTACTTTATATATAAAGTCAAGTAGTCGGCCCGTAGGTCCAAGGTTTATTTACAAACATAGCCCAAACCCCGTGACCCCTAGTCACAACAATACATAGGGTTCAACCCTAACACATATGTTTGCATTCTCGAGTCCAACTCGACTACATCACCATGCACCTTATTTAACACAAGTTAACTACTCCACCGTGCATTTCTTGAGTCCAACTCAACTACATCACCATGCACAACAATCACCCCATCATGTCTACCCAATGCAATTCTATGAGCACGGGCTCAAGTACATCTCCTTACATTGGCATAGACCCCCCAATTCCTAAGCACTCGCTATGCCTAGAATTGTAATATCAATAATCTATTTTGGGACATCCTTACGGACTGCCCAACCATGGTCTTAGCATCACATTACATCAATTTTGTCACTTGCATCACAATCAAGTACATCAATTACAATCAAATCCTTAGATTCAATTCCTTAACAATTACAACAATCATTAACTAGTATTTCAATACTATTAAGATTATTCTTATCCATCATATATTCCATTGTAAAACCCTACATATTTAGAGATATGTAGCAGCAACTTAATCATCCCATGTAATACATAAATAATCATTTATGTATCTACACAATTCACACATGGGTAAAATGCCTATTTCACACAATAGTTCACTTACTCCATTTTTAACAATACTTTATCAAATTATTTCCCATTTCATTCCTTGAAAAGAAGATCAATATTCCGTCAATAATTTATCATCATAATCCATGGAAAACATGATTTAGGCATTTAGGTAATCTTATGCTTAACCTACAAGTTGTAAGCAACTAGATGTCGATCCTCACCTCAAATGAGCTTTAAAACTTTCCTTCTCAATCCAATGACCAAAACCTCGGCCAAAGTAGCTTGAGAACTGATTCCTTGATTAGAAATGAGTGTAAAACAGCCCCCTCAAAGTGCTAGCTCAACCCCTAATCGTTGATACGAAAACAGCCCCTAGAATGGGTGTTTTCCGGTTAACTCGTTTCCTAGTTTTCCAAGATTTGCTCTAGGTTAGTTGGTTTGACGAGGAGAAAGTTGAATCCAGACAGAATGAAGTAAGGCACTTGTATCATAATAGTTTGTACTTGAGAAAGTATGGAGAAAGTAGTGTTAATCCTTGGTTCCCAGGCGCGCAATAAAAGATTGTGATGTGTTCCCAGGACCTCATTGGATCCACACAGAATGAAGTAAGGCACTGCTATCATAATAGTTTGTACTTGAGAAAGTATGGAGAAAGTAGTGTTAATCCTTGCTTCCCAGGCAATAAAACAATCTGATGTGTTCCCAGGACCTCCCTGCCCAACCCTTCAATTTTAAAAAAAAATGGTCGTTGGGAGTAGAATTGGGATCGGGACCGCCCGGTTTGGGGTTCCGTTAAGCCAGACATCTTAGGATATTTTTACTTGGACTATTTTCGGTCCCAAATTATACTAGACGAGAATCCAATAGACCATAGCAAACTTAAACAGTCCAGACCAGATTTAAAAGAGACCATACCCGATCAGACTAAACTTCCGTAATTATAAATTACACATAGACCAGACATTTATTGGACCAGACCGTAATAGACCAGAGCATTAATAATAATAATAAAAACAACAACAACAATAACAACAACAACAACAACAACAACAACAACAACAACAACAACAACAACAACAACAACAACAACAACAACAACAACAACAACAACAACAACAACAACAACAACAACAACAACAACAACAACAACAACAACAACAACAACAACAACAACAACAACAACAACAACAACAACAACAACAACAACAACAACAACAACAACAACAACAACAACAACAACAACAACAACAACAACAACAACAACAACAACAACAAAAACAACAACAATATTAGTTATAATTAAAACATACTCCCTCCATCCCGATAGAAGGTTCACACTTTCTTTTTTGGGACATCCCATTACAAGGTTCTCATTTCTATTTTAGGAAACAATTAACAATCTTAATTGAAAAATTAGTCATAAAATTTCAAAAATAATACATTTATAACATCACATTTATCAATACTAACACATTATAACAAACACCTATTAAAATTATTTCTCAAAAATATACCCGAATACTTTATTTAATTATCACCTAAATAACCGTGCCGTTTTGCAACGGGAACCTTCCAACGGGACGGAGGTAGTATATATTTATAGAATACAATGTAGTAGTATTGCGTCACAAAGCAAATCCGAATATTAGGGTAATTAGGGAGTGCACAAATACATTATTCCTAAGATGATAATGATGTAATATAATGATGTGAGATTTTAATAAAAACACATGTCAATACTTCAAAAAAGGGTGAACACGCTGAATCGACTTAAATTGTCGAAGCTCTAGTTGGAGCGTCTGATTGAGCTGAATTTACTTAATCACGGGAAAATTATGCATATAAAATATTTTTATTAATAAAATAAAGAAAACAAAATAAGAATATATAAAATCGTTCTTTACGATGAATTATTTCAGCCAATTCGGCCATAGTAGTAACTCTAGCATCACTTAGTTTTATTAATACATAATTCAACGATCAAAATCATAGGTTACTGGTATGTATTTGCGAGAAAAGTCAAGAACGAGAGTTACCAAACCGACTCTACATATCCTAAATATATACTAGCTCCGTCTAAAAAACCTGTCATTTTTAAAACTTTGGTCAACTATATTTTGTTATTGATAATTATTTATGATATAAAAATGTTCTTTGCTAAAAGTAGTTTCATAAACGTCTAAAATTTATAACTATCGTAATATTATATAAATCAAAATTATGAGATGACAATTTTATTTGAGATGGGGACACTATGGATGTTTTTACTTAGACTGTAATTTGCTGGCCTGATCTGATCTGAACTGGTCTGGTCTGGTTTTTTTGTATTCTTATAACTACGCAAGTCTGGTATGTTCTGATCTAATATGATCTGGTCTGATGTGGTATGGGACAAATTAGTAAAAACATCCTATATTTTACATTTGCATTTGGGATGAGAAACATATAAATGAGAAAAATTAGGTGTGGCCCAACAGTTCAGCCCACTGGGGGAATTCTATCCCAAACGAAATACGAGTATATGAGCAATCCGGGTCGGTCACTTCTTCAACTGGATTTCATCGTTCACTTCTTCAACTCACAACGGATTTCCAACTGATTTCAGCGTTCTTGAACGATTCCGGTTGTTCTCGGAGGAGCAAAATGGAACTATTTAAACGTGATTTCCAACTGATTTCATCGTCCACTTCCGCCCCCCATTCGCGTCCACCAATATGGATGTTCAGTTCTACCCCAAGGCAAAGGGGAGAGTTACTACACGCAACTCTTTCCAGAAGCTCACTCTGAGTGATGGGGCGGAGGCGGCCGCCGCCGGAAACGACAGAAGTTTCAGGAGAAGGAAGAGGTCAGCCAAGTTTTACCCCGGCCTTCAGAAGATGCGGGCAATTGCTTATCCCGAGGGCGGACAGGAAGAAACCGAGTCAGAAAATTCAGGTATATTGTTATTTTGTTATTTATTCTTATTCTTTTTCCCTTTCTCTACTTAAGCGTTTCTTCAATAGATTCAAGTCCCGAAGATTCAAGTTCCCAAGTTTCAAGTTCGGGAGGACCCCATGCAGAAGAGTTGTCAGAAGAAGAAGACGCTCCAAGATCAAAATTCTTAACTTCAATTTGTACACTCCTTCTTATTTGGCTAGTTTTAGGTAATTTCCACTCATTTGATTTTCTTTCCCCAATTAGATGCACCGGTGATGATTTATAGTCTTTATTGCAGTTATGGCAGTCTTTCTTTCACTCAACTAGAGCAGAAGATGCTCCCAGGCCTTTTGCACTGCATTCCTATTCCTCCTAGGTCAGCTAGATTTTAGGTCTTTAATTGATACTTTTTCAAATTCCTTGTTTATGCATTAATACTAAGCTGGTGATCATATTATTGTCCAGGCCGGAAGCAGTCAAGTTTCAGTCATCCAGAAGTATATAGTCTGATAACATGATCTAGTCTTTCTATTTGATTTGTAATCAATCATACTGTCGTGTTAATATGCTAGTTACTTGAGTACGTTTTCGATAAGGCATTTGTTCAGACCATGCTGTTGTGTAAATTCTTTCATATAATACTAAGCTGGTGATCATATTGTTTTCCATCTTACACTTTCATTTAAAACTCATTATAATTGCTAGCTCACATTCCCACCACTACAATTTGCTGCAAGTTGCATTTTCTTCAATCTCTGAGGATGGCAGGCCAGGGAAAGGGAACGAACAGTCATGATTTATTGATTTTTCTTTTCAATTGCAACTGAATTCTGCATCAGTATTTGAAATTATGTCAATGTGGATAAAATTGCTCTAGAATTTCAAATTAAGTTGGTATTAGGCATGGAACCTACTGTGCGGGACCGGACTGGACCAGCCCGGTGCCTCGGGTCCGAAACCCGTCCTTAACCCGATTTGAAAGGTAAAGCGGGGCGGGCTCGGGCTCGGGCTGCTGAAATGGGGACCCCGGCCAGGCCAGGCCCGGTTTGGGCCCACAACTGTTTTGTTTTTTTTGTTTTTCCAGTTTTATTGGGCTTCCCGGGTTGGGCTTAATGTTTTGGGGGGGGGGGGGGGGGTTGGGGGGGGTCAGGAGGGGTGAAGGGCGGAAGGGGGGGTCAGTGGGTAGTTTGGAAAGAAAAAAAAATATTACAACACGGCCCGGAGCGAGGCACGGCCCAACCCGAATCAAGCCCGGTGGCAACCCGGGCCAGTCTCGGGCCTTCCCCCAAATACAAAAGGCCTGACTGGGCCTAGGCCCGGCCCGGACCCAGACCCGGTTTGGTCCAAGCCCAGATGGTATACATATTTTCTCCAGCTTGTGTGGCCTTATTACAATCATGAATATCATCATATAATTTTTTTTGCTTTTCTAATTAATTCCTACCCCCACCCTCCAAACCCGGCCAAAACACCCCACCCAACAAGCCTACCACCCCAACACAAGGAAAGAAAATAGAGTAACGGGCCGGCCCTGGCCTGGCCGGTCAACCTGGGCGCAGTCCATCCTTAAGCCCAACCTTAAAAATGTCCAAAAAAAAAATATTTGGGCCTGAATCGGGGTGGCCCGGCAGATCGGGCCGACCCGACACAGGCCAAGTGGCCAACCCTAATTCACCCATGTCTGAAACATGGCGAGTAGAATTTCATTTAAACTAGTATTTCACGCGTACGCTGCGCGGGACATGTTTTTTTTGTATTTTGTTTTTAACGTAAGATGCATATTGAAATATTTGTGCAGAATATATTTGTTCAAACAAAAATGAAATACTTGTATGATATGTGACAAATGTTATACTAAATGCATTTATAAAATATTGTGGATACTTTTACCCCAAAATATTCCGGATTCTAATTTAATTTCTAATACATCAAATGTAGTACAGAATATTTAAAATATTAAAAGTTTGTAATAGTACACTCATTATATCCATCATGAAATATGCACTATTACTTGGAGAAATTTTTATCTCTTATTCCCTGAGACTCTTAATGGAAATCGTGAGGAACAAGTTCATCATATTTGGAACACTTGTTTAAGATATGTTCACACATAGTAGGGTGTCCCCAATATTTGGAAAACTAAATCCTCCGAGGATAAGTGCCAAAACTACAAAGCCAGAATATCTACAAAGTGTGTGGTTAGATGCTTCAATGAAAAATACTATAAATAGTGTTTCCTTTTCCCGTTTCTCTTCCCGAGCAACCTTCTCTTTTTCCCTTTTTATAGCAGAAACTTCCTCACAAGGATTAGGTAAGATGTTAGCTCCTTCGATATTTACTGGGTTCTGGTACCGCATCATCCTTTACAATATCATCAGCCTTGTTCTCCCACAGCTCAGTGTCTACCAGAGTTAAGATCTCCCCAATTGAATCTGTGGTGTAGTAAACTATATGATCCTTCCCCAATTGTTTTTTTTCTTTCTAGCTGGTGGAGGGGCTTACACGTAAAAGCATCATGTCCATGCTTTTTATAGTGAAAACGGTAATTAGGGAAGGTCTCATAGATGATGAATTGTCTTCTATTCTGCCTAGAGGGAAGCTTGATATCGACAAACAAAGTGTGAGGCTTAGAAGCATCAACTCCCACCAATATTCTAGCATAATCCAATCTCATCTTGTCAGTTGTCACTACTCACTAGTAATACCGTGATTGAATATAGGCAAGCCAACTCTTGAAGCGATCTTCCTAATATCTCCTCCTTCCAACAATCCATAGGTAGTTTGAGGCAGTATAGTCCACATGGGTACTCTCAAGAACTCCTCATCATCATAACTAAACCGTGCCTGCATATTTTTTAACATTAGGCCCCTCCATAAGTACTTTTGTTCAATCTTCTTCATTTGTTTTTTATCCGAAAGACAACCAAACCTCGTTCATGTGTTACCAATTTACATCTAATTCCCCAGGTTTCTGTGTGAAGATGAATAGCCCTCATACTCAAGAAAATCTTCCTCTGTTGATATGTATCTCAGCCGAAGACCTCTGTGCACTCACGTACCTCTTTCTCAGACACCTTCTGTGCACTCACCTCTTTATGTTCTTCATTTATTCTACCCTCTGTTTTCTGGTTCACTGCTTCCTCCTCCCTACTCATCTCTTCAACCTCTTCAAGAAGTGAGAACTATGTTGATGTCAACATCGACCTTCCTTTTACCATCATCTTACTATTCATCATAACCTGGGACTGGGGCTGCTTTGGATCAATTACATATTTGTCGGTGAAGGTACCAGTTTTCTCAGATGAAGCAGTCTTCTTATTCTTCTCCATCCTGAGAGGGAAGAACACAAACGTCTCAAAGCGGGGAATATACTCTAAGCAAGCTACGACATAGGATCTCTATGGGATTACATAGGATCTCAAATAAGCAAGAAAATGGGTGTTAATTTTCCAAGTTAGAAAGCTGCATGTAGTATTTTGTTGAAAAAATTACGTGTGAATAGGCAGTAGTAAGTCACGCATATTGATCTTGTAATGAAATGCAAATTTAAGCTATGTGCACCTTCATGTAATATGCCACATGCCCACATTACTATATCAATTGAGTTATTAGCCTCGAGCAATTTGTGAAAGATAAGTGAAATTTAAAGCATCAAATATCAGCAGCCAACAACCAATAATAGACAAAATCGCCAAATAATCAACACAAGTCTGAAGTGGCAAAAAAATCCTAAATATTTTAGGATTAAAACTAAGTGAAATTGTGCCTGCCACACTACCTTGGCATATATAAATAGAACCAAGATCGTTAATTTCACTTCACAATCATATCATACTCTTAGAAACTGTAAACAACATTTCAACCCAACTATATAATCTTCACCGAAATCGGAGAATTTTGAAAAGCAAAAAAAAAAAATACATGTCCCAAACTTATAACGCTGCTAAGTAAGATGAGGAAAATCAAAGATTGAAACAATATTTCAATAATCATCGTACAGTAAGATGGGGATAATCATGTTGGAAGGACCAAATAAAGTAACGCATTCCCATAGTATTTTTTTTTAAAAGTTATTTTATCTACAAATAAAGTAAAACATTTTTATCAAACTTGGGGCTGAATCCGAGCAAGACATTGCCCCATTAGCTACACCGGCATTTAGTAAAGATGCAGGGTGGTAAATAAGACAGGTCAATAAAAAGATTTTTTCCAGATAATTTTCTGCAGAACTTTCCACATGCATGAGAAAAGATCTAAATTTATGGAGGGTTCATACCTATGCTTGTGGTAGTGTTTATGTGCATATATACAAAAAGTGTCCATATATTGTTGTACATATACGAAATACTATTGCACAAGACAAGCAAAAAAAGCTGTTTGATAAAGCTTTGTTAAATCAATGGTAGTTTTTTTTGTAAAAAAAGGCCCTTGGACCCTTGATCTAGTTGTAAAAAATCATGTTCACTACATTGCAAATGTATCCATGATCATAGTCACAAAATTTTCAAAAATAGTGGCTGGGTATAAAATGTCACATTTTTTTCTGCCATATGGATTTATTCATATATAACTCACTATTTCTATTTTATTATTAACATATAAAAAATTGTTGTAGGCACATGGTTGGGTTTTCCTTAATAAAGTTTAAAAAGTATACATCTAGCTCTTGAAGTTTTATAAAAAGAATAATAGAAAAAAATAGTGTTTCACGTACGTGTTTTTAAACAAACACCAAGGTGCATATATCTGGCTCTTGAAATGCAAATACTGATACTGCAACCTTCACTAAATATTAGAGTATCTAGTTCCTTGTATTTCATTCATATATTTCTTTTTTTATAAAATTTAATGTTCTCTGTGCCATTAACATGGCAGCATGGGGAAATAAGGTTAATGGAGAAATCCTCTTTAGAGATTGAAGTGGTAGACAAGTTGTAGCAGGCTGCATTTCAATAGTCCACTCGGTAATGAAGTTGTTTTCTCCCTCCTACCCTTTAGTTGGAGTAGTAGTGTGGAATTTTGTAGCAGGAAATAGATGTTATATCACAACGACTTATGGATCAAGTTTCCAAAAAAAAAATATTAGCAACATATGAAGCACTTCACATGTTGCTAATAAACAAGCCTTTATTCATCTTATTGAAAGTGATTGTCTTTCTACTGCTTGTTCAGTCTCCAGGTAATAAACCATAAAGTAAATCTGCCATCGTTTGTGGGAAGGAGTAAGAAGGAAGTCTTGGCCTTTATTAAAGAAAGGCTTAATAGTTGGAATCATAAGTTTCTTTCAAGAGCTGGACGTGAGGTCCTTCTAAAAGCCGTGGTGCTGTCTATGCCCAGCTATGCTATGCAGGTGTTCTTATTTCCTCAAGAGCTTTATGCGGAGCTGGAAAGGTAAATGTATAAATTTTGGTGGACTGGCTCATCCGGGCGTGGTATAAAGTGGAAAGAGTGGGCGGGAATGTCTTCACCAAAGTCAAAGGGAGGTATGGGTTTCCGAAAGCTTAAGGAGTTCAATCTGGCAATGATAGGGAAACAAGTGTGGGATTTTATGCAAAATCGAAACAGCTTAGAAGCTTCCGTTTTTCGCGCTAGATATTTCTCCAAAAATTCTTTTTTGGAGGCTAAAGTTGGCCACAACCCTTCTTTTATTTGGAGAAGTCTTTGGGAGGCTAAAGGGATGGTTAAAAAGGGATTTCGTTGGAGGGTGGGTGATGGGA